TTACTTCTTGGCATAGCGAGAAAGTAAATTGAAAATAACCCGAACAGAAATGACTGGGCACGAACAGCGTGCGATGTAAACAGTGCATGTACACAGAACGAAGCGAATGGCTACAAGAAACATGCGCAGTGGAGAAATTAAACAAACAAACGAAGTTATGCAAATGACAAGTATGCAAATGAATAATTAACAATTTTGAACTGCGTACAAAATACAACCATTACTAGTTACCGGCCTCTTGTGGCTTGGTACTCCATGACACTTGAGGCGGGACCAGCCAAGCGCCCGCGCTGTTATTAGATTAAAGCGAGCGCCTGTGCTGTTATTAGGTTCGAGGCGAGCGCCCGCGGTGTTACTAGGTCGTGAATATAAGGCTTGGTTATTCCGCTCTATTTGGTTATTATGGTATTAATCCATGGCCAAACGTTGTTCAAATCTGTTATGAATCTATTGTGAATCTGATGGTATTAAACCAAGCGCCATAGATGTCCCGCAGATGAGAGATACAGCCGACCAGGCACTGTGACCAGGGTTATTTAATCGGCTATTCATGTGCCGTTTTCCAACATGACTTGACGTACTAGTATATTATACCAATAAGTGCTTTATTTAGATACCATGTTAAATGAGCGATAAGTCAATTTCATTTTATTCGGCTACTAATTATTGAAAGAAAACAATATTGTGTGTGAAAAGAAGTAAAAATGTGAAAGTTAGAGTGATCAGAATCGACAGTCGTCACGCGGACGGCTGTCATTGTTCATTTCGTCACCAATTCTGCGTTTATTCACCCTCCATTTGACTTTTATGTATATTTGTACATATCACGAAATTAAATTGGATATATATGTGACTGAATATTACAAGGAATATGTGACAAAAATTATGATAATTTCATCGATGAAAGGTCATTTTACACAAAGAGGAAATGCCCAACCCAATAAACCAGAAAATGTTGCGACCCGATCACCTGACATGGACAACGTGATCAGCGGTAACTCCCCATTTCATGGTCATTATGTTATGTTTAATTTTACCCAATAGCAATTCTAACACTTTCATTCACCGAGTAATTTTGCACAATGTGTTCTTGTGAGTAGTTTGTTAAAGCGCCATAGGGCGGATAAGTGCCATCCGGAGAGGACATTAATGAGACATTGCTTTTGTACGAGCATGGAAGGTACTAACGAGAACCAATGTTTGTGAACAAACACTGACAAACGATCATGGGATAAAGCTAAAACAATAGCGCTGTGGCTCTTTCCGTTAGTAGCTTCAATGATACGAGAAAGTTACAAGTAGCAATTTTGAAATGAACACTACATTATTATGATTATTTGCATGGATTGACTTGGAAATGGTGTACACTCCCGGTGTATTCAATTAAACTTTCTGTTCTTAGCGACACATCACAGGTGATATCAGTTCCATCATACCATGTGTCATAATCGGCCGACAACCATGCCTATGGTATGCATTTACCAACCAGGTGGCAGCGAGACATATGTACCTCTATATGCAGTCATGACGTCACTACTAAAATAAAAAGCTTGAGGTCGAAATATAATTTTTAATTTGTCTTAAATATTCTTTCTGTTTGGTTCGAAATTAATGCAGAAATTTAGAGAAATATGCGTACAACATTTTGGTGCGGGAAATTGTGGTGTTCGAAGCGTTAGGTTTGTACAGAATATCCCGGGAAGAACATCTCAGACATGCCGTGTACTACCCCATTGGTCAGCGTGACATCAAAGCTCTCAATCAATTTATCTTGTACCGTTGTGCCACCACGGCCTTGCTCCAGAATCAGTGTCTCGCCAGTCAACGCTGTGAAGGATTTGAAATCATAGAAGCTAGCTGCGTAGAAGGCATCACCGACCACATGTGTTTTCAGTGTCTCGTTAAGGTATGTGGTGTTTACTAGTTTCTTCTTCTGTTCGTCGGTTAGCTTCTGAATAGCGTCGTCATTAGGTGCGAACACGGTCAGTGCGTGATTTGGATCTGTTGTTAATGTTGCAGTCAGGTTGGCTTTCTAGAATCAAGAACATAACTGAATGAATTGTTTTATTTTCAATCGGTAACCACGAATATGTACAAAAACTATGGTAACAATCCGGGATAGTTGCTTTTATTGTAACTAAGGTAGCAACCATGGTAAATTGCTTGTAGATACCCTTGATCATGATGCTAAGGTGAATTCTGAACTGGTGCTGCTCATGGTTACGCGGGAGGTTTACCGGTAAAAGGGGAACATTTCGACTGACCAAAAAGTTTAGAAGAAAGTTATTTTGCGTTAGCTTGAGGCATGGAGGTAAACAGTGGAGGAACATTGACCTCGTATAATCGTGTGCATGAATTGCCCTTTTCAAACAGTTCTCACGAACAGTTTTGAAAATTCAGTAGCAAGCTATAAACTCCCATCGAATTGCGTTTTTAAAATGAGAAAACAGTCAACTTGTCGCATCTTTTCTTCATAGAGAGGTAGCTTATAGAGTGTATTTATTTCTACCATCCAAGGGAAGAAAACGGCGGGGGATATGCGACCCAGCTCTCCAGATTCTCAAAGACGGAGCTACGTCACAATCCCCAAAACGTTACCAGAACCAATCACAAACAGGGACAGCTAACGAAACAATCTTTTGTCTTTTTCTGACTTTCTGTCACGGACCGTTTTTGAGAATAATTCAGGAAGTAGAAATCAGCGAGTACTAGTATTTAGTAAATGCAATACGTCTTCAGTATTTAAATATCTTGTTTACCTTAATGAACATGTTTAGCAATGAGAATCGTGGATCCTTTTCAAAAAACTCCGCAATATTGTTGCCTGTTGGTAGTGGAAAGATGACTTTCTTTATAATATGCGCTATGCCGTTACTGCATTCGTAGTCTGGTCTGAATATCGTTGCACCGGAAACTGAGTAGACCTAAAACCAATATAACGATGGTACTATATTAGACTGAAATCTAACATAGATAACAGTATTTATATTTTTTTAGACACAATGGCTAATTGCCATGGTGAAATAACAATATTATGTATTTGATATTTAGAACCATTATATGGGTATACAGCTCACACTGTTGTAAATAAGACTGTTAAAAAAAATTCTGACAAAAAAAATACCGTAAAAATAGAGACAATAGTCATTTTGGTTTTCAATTCTTACTCCATGCACCCCTTCCAGCCAAGAACCGCCTACTATTCGGTCATCCCCTCAACATAACTTAATTTTAGCTCGAGTGTTGTCGCATACGACTTATTTACCACTTCCGTGTCACTGAGAATGTTCTAGAACCGTACTGTGTCTGGGTGGAATATTCTAGATTTTTTTTAGAAAATGGTTGGATATGTAATAGAACACTGTAGGAGGCAATAGAAGGTAATGGAACATTCTAGAAATTTGTAGTAAAGTTCCAGACTCATTATGTATGCTGATGCAATGGTCTATTTATTGACAGTGGGGGTATATTGTTCAGCACTGAGATCAGATCGGAGATCTAGTTGAATTGTGTTGGAATTTAGGTATCTAGTTATTGGAGTAGTGGAGTTTTACCGCGTTATTGTACTTGATGTTTGCAGAGTATAATAATACCAGTACCAGTTGAAACCTCATCTGTTGGCTCCGTGTTCGTATGTTATCATCGCCGCCAGGGAAGTCTTTCTGTTACTGTTGCCATTTTGGTATTTGAACCATCACACCTGTACTATACCAATTACGGTAATATTACGTTGCGTGTGACAAGTGTATTAAAGTGCGCCCTCTTTGGCGGACAAATCTTTCGGTAGAAACACGTGACGTACATTTCGTGGAGGAGAATGTTTACGGACGATTAGTCTCTCTATCATGGACGGGACGTTATCTCAATGACACTGTTGCAATTGCAACCTTATAAGTCCACCATGACTATAATTTATAGGGTTATAGGGTTCAAGCACCATGCTGAGTTACCATGTATGAGCGGATATCGAGTTTGCATCAAAGTACATTGTACACATTTCTGAAGTTCTGGAGAAGAAGGGATTCTGCTATTAAAGGGCGGTGGTCCTCGCGCCACGCATGCGCGAGATGTGGGTCTTATATGAACAAAGATGACGACTTTGACTATTGCGCAGACCAACGAGTACTGAGACAAGCTTTGACTAGGTAATTTTTTTGGTGATTGAAGGGTATCGAAGGAGTCATCGTCGACAATTAGTGCATGTCGCACCCAGATCAAAACTCGTACTCGTGATTTCCATTGCGCATTGTGGGAAAAGCAATGTTTAGCAACACAAGTGTCGCATATGCGCGGCGCGACGACAACCGCCCTTTAAACTGAATGCACACCACATTAATCACAAACTTTGACTTTCGGGCCGACCACTCGATAAATGATAGAAAAATGCAAGAGACTGCTTTGAAAAAAGGCACATAAACACATTGTCATGTATTGTGTCTTTCATTTGTTCCGAAATCGTATATCAGAATTGCTAGGACATAAGAGACCAGTCACGAAACAAGGTAAGGCCAGTAACAATAACTACAAAACCATCAAATAGCGTTAAATCTCAGACAACTAATAAATTATCATCTTATCTTATCTTATATAACAATTTATAACGTATAATTCAGCTTACATCCCCTCAAACGAACATTACAACTCGCGTACATGGCCGGGTTCACACAATAGTCGCACAATATTTACTCGGTAACCGGACTTTTTCTCGTTAAAATCTAAAGTTTACACCAACAAGACAGAAATTCGTAACCAAATAGGTCGTGAACCAGACTTCTTCTTTTATTCAAACCTTTGCAAACTGCACACGAGTTTTTTGTCATATTGATTGCGCCATAATTTGCAGTTTTTTTTTTTAGCATCGTTGATAGAATCGTTAACATTATTCATTGGGATCGGTTGATACTGGGTTGTCATATCGCTATGATGGACTTCGATCGTGATCATTGTTACGACAACTGTTTTGGCGTTGGTACCTGGAATGTTTTCAACCCACCTTGATGTGAGCACCACAAAGGGCGAGTTTGTGAAGCCATTGTGTTTGACTACATTTGTATTAAAGTAAATGGCGTGTTTAGTGACGAATGGGTTCTAAGGATGTAAATGGGTAACAGAGGCGCCAGTCGTAGCGTCGATATTGTATTGAAGAAATGTAATACAATAAAAATAACGAATGACATCCAATCATAGTTGTCCAATTTATTGATATTGCTGATGACTATCTATGCCATTTTTGACGTCACAGAATCTAGTCGTCGCCAGAGGGCACTTATAGAGGAAAGATATATAGGTACATAGTACATTGTATGAACCACTACCGGTATATTTACCGTAGACATTTACATAGACAGTGTCATAGTTACATATCCCCGACGAACTAACTGACCCGTCCCTTATTCGGACAGTGTCATAGCTATATATCCCCGACTACCTAAACGACTCGTCCCTTTTTCTGACAGTGTTATACTGTAAAATACTTTATTTTCGCTTGGAATTAATTTTCGCTATTTAGGCTGTAGGAATGATTCAGTGAATCCAGCGAAGACCCCTTTTTCCTTTATTTTACTTTGTTCTTGTCAAAAATCAGTGAAAATAAATTCCATACAAAACACCCTGTCTTTTCAGCAAAAAATAATTCTAGCTAAAATAAAGTATTTCACAGTAGTAATATATACCCGACTAACTAACTGGCGCGTCCCTTATTATGACAATGCCATTGTTATACACGTATATCTCCGACCACGACTCTTTTATCCTTGCCGTTGATGTCCATATACTACTAGTATCACATTATTTTCAGATAGTTAGCCCACTAAACAGCTATGTGACGGGGTGTTGGTTTTCATACAATGGTTTCAACTCTCATAACTTTGTAATTGGCGTTTTTATTTCATCAACACTTTAAACCCGATCGGTTTCCGACTGACATTTGACCTCCATTCAGACAACTTGTAGGCTACTCGTAGGCGTTTAATAAACTGGTAAAGTGAATGATTATTGAAACGAACTGAGCTGAGACGTAATATATGTGTATAAATCACTGCCGGTCAAATGGGGTCATTAAGAACGGCTAGTGTTACCATATGCTAGGGCAATCTACTCTGTCTCGACTCAGACACTCGCATGCTCGCATAGTACACACACATAGCCTGTGTATTTCACCGGTTTTATTCATGACAACAGCGTTTGGCTACTATATCCCGGTGTTTTCGTGAAGATTAGTAGCAGCTGTACTTCAGGGTTCCGGTATTTTGTAATCTGGCTAGCTGTCAACAATTCAGGCAAGTAGAATACTAAGTGTCATTCTCACGATGGTGGCTGTCACAATTTTCTGTATGAATCGTGTGACTCTGAAATCATCTTAAAGTTTTGGTTTTTCCCAAAAACAAATACCGCAATCTTTTTAACAAATATATTGTGTCCATGATGCCTCGCTTTTTGCATTTGTGTTTTTATGATACAAGTTAGATGCATAAAATGTATCTATCTATCAGTGTCCGTTTAGTGGTTCCCGTATCTAGAGCTAGAACAGTCATTACTGTCCGACCCATGATATACGTACATTATAAACCAAATGACTATGGGTGGAATTCCGCCGTTAATGGTGGTTCACAGTGATCACTGGCTAACTCCACAGGCATTTTGTGTAAAGTGGTGTTTATAACTCATCTTCCATGTCCCTACTTCCATGGAATGACGAAACCATATATCAATATGACATGTGACGAAACCGATAACTGGTGTCAGAGTTGAAACGATTCAGTCCCGGATAAAGGGGTCAATCGACCACAGACTTCGTCCGGAATTTAAGTTGCTCCTCACAGTATCGGAAATACTCAATGACTTATGCCATGCCTGGTTACACATAAAGGTATGATTTATCGCCCCAACGCTAAGGGTGTTTATTCGCAACACAAAATGTGTCGACCGCCCAGGACATCGTAGGCTCACACATTGTGTACAAAAGCGCAAATTGTGTTCGTGTATTGGCAATGCGACTAGGAATTCCTGCCAATATTTAAAGCGCGGTGGTCGTCGCACAGCGCGTGTTCGAATTTCATGTAAATATACAATGTATACGTCGCCATAAGTCCCATATCGAACAGGACGCGGCACGACGACTACTGTTCTTTAAAGTTAAATGAGTGAGTGTACCAGGCGTGGCTGATGACAAAACAACGTGTATCATCTCAGCTCAGGAAATGGTCTCCGATATGGTAGCCGAGACTTTTTCAGAGACCCTACAAATAACGCAATGAGCGCCGACACAATCACGGTCAGCTATTGGCCGTAATAAGCGAATGTGTATTCAAATAGCGCTGATCATTAAAAAAAAGTCACGGCACCCCAATTTTTTTTGTTCAAGGTAAATTAAATATCCTTTTATCTTGTTTTTTCCTGTTACCTTGAATTGATTATCTTGTTCTTTGTGTGTCTCTGTATCCATTGCTGCCCTGTGAATGTGTACGTGTTAATAAACGTTTTGATTGGTTGTTTTAAAATCGGGCGTCAGCGTAAGCAGTGCCGAGCGCATGCAAATTGACAGAGTATTAATTTGCTTTCCTTGGTTTGGTAAAGCCAGTCTATAACTGAGTCGAGAGGAAGTAACGTTTGAATAATGTATTTGCATAGCTGGACCGCCATAACCAGGCATAAATTATCGCCTTGGAGTCTGAATCTATTGATTGTAGTTTTGGTGAATGACAACATTGTATCTGCTTCTAATAAAGCAGACAAACCATGCGTTCAGACACAGTGACTCTATAGAGCTTGGTGGACTGAGATCCAAACTGTGGAAAAATGTGCGTTGATTGATTAATGTTCGACACGTGACTTGAGAGAGAAAAAAATAATTGTTCTCTGTCGCGGGTTGAGGCACATAACAAAAAACTTTTTCTTTTCAAATAGACTAAAAATGAAGGAAGCGGTTAATATACTTTTGACACAGAAAGTTAATATTTGTTAAAATTATTCATGTGTTTGTGACGGTCAACTTTCTTTATTTTAACTAATTTTCAGTCCAAAATTGTAGTCAGTTTAAAACCGTCGCTTTTATATTTTCCGCATTTTTATTTCGTGACCTACGAAGAGGTCGTTTTTCTTTTGATAAATCACAGTCCCTCTATCTCTCTATAGAGGTACCGTATTAATTTTCAAACGCATTCAACAATAATATCGAACCAAAGAACGTCATTGCACTCATCTCGAAGGTAATGGAATCAAGGGACGTTTTTTTTTTCTCGAAAAATACTGGTCGAAAGGTTGAGTTATTAATCTTTGTTTTCGAACCAGAAATAGGTGACTTAGTATAGAAGTTTCTCTACTGACTCCCATCCGGATCCAAACTGGTCCCGATCAATAGGCCTGATATGTCAGACGGTTTACGTCACCGTTAGCCTTCACTGAAAATGACAATCATAGTTGCATGGTGGTTGCATTTTTTTCACTTAGATGATGCTAAGTAACTCTAAACGGAGACTGAGGCTTATATCTGTCGCCATTAACTTTCCGAATCTAGAAGATTCGATACATTTGGTGTAAAAGAGCAAAAAAAATGTCATGAAAAGGTTTGTCATTTAATTTAGCAAATGATTGTATATATTTCCTTTGGGCCCAGTATGTGTCCCATCACCATGGGGACAAGCAATAAACGTCATAGTATATGTGGTGGTGGTTGGACCTTCTTCAGATCGTTCGGACTGATTGAACGAAGGACATAAATCAAGAGAATGACTCAGAGGACAGTTCATAAAACATCATCGTGTGTGGTTTGTTAGTTCATGTTGTTACGTGCACTCTTATCATTGACGTGACTTATGTAAAGGGAATAAACATTTGTGAGAGGGCGGTCTTTCCTTGACGAGCAAGTTTAAACTGTTCGTTGACAATAAAGTAAACTACAAAAATACATTATTGTAAGGCGCGGAACGGACAGATTATTGTTGCGATTTATCACACTTACAGCCGTAAGCAACCTATGAGAGAAGGGGAACAGACCTCTGCTTAAAATGTTTCTTTGCTAGTTATTGTGACGCAGGTTAATTTTTCTGACATTTTGTCTCGCTCCTATCAGAATATTACATCATTATAACATGACAAATCTATACTTAATGAAGAGATGAAAAGACAGTAGGATGTAATTATTTATATCTCACCTTTCGATGGCCTCCTTTGAATGCTTCGTAGATATTAATGCGTAAGGATTGCAGACCGTAACCAGTTGGCTTGAAAGAACTTGGCAGACGGAGGTCGTTCTTATAATCGCGTGCAGTTAAATGACCGATTCCCATATGGTATTTCAACACCCATTCAGCAACTGTGTCGAATTTTATCGCTTCCTTGGCTGCTTTGGACATCGTTTCGAAGGCTTCGTTATCCGGTATGAACACCGTGTAGTTGCTGCCATGTTGAAGTTGGTCTTTCACCCATGTTGATCTGTCTACTAATTTCACGAATTCAGTGGCTCCGAGAGTTACCGCTGTTTGATAGATATTGCTAGATGTCTCCTCATATCCAATGTCGGTACTTGGCACATCAAAAACACCGAACAACAGGTTGGCAAGCAACAAAATTACTTGAAAAAGATCGACCATGGTGCTCAATGAATGTTGAGATTTGGTTTGATATAATCACACAAAAACGATCAAAAGTCGCATCATATCGTATCATGTCACGATATCAGTTCATTAGCCTGAATGTTACAGTTCACCAAAGTGCAACTTGGAATTGTTAACAAAAAGTTAACAGGATTTTGAATACAGCGGGCGCTCTATTATGATATGTGCGTTAAAGGGCGGTAGTCGTTGCGCCACACATGTGCGAGATATATGGGTCTCATATAAAGAAAGATGGCGTCTTTGACTATTGCGCAGATCATGCGCAGATCAAGGAGTACAAACTGAGACGATATCAAGCTTTTAGGTCATTGTAAGGTATTGAAGGAGTCACCGGCGGTGATTAGTGCAAGTCGCGCCCAGGTCAAACCTCATACTTGTGATTTCCATTGAAAGTGCGCATTGGATTGTGGGAATATCAATGTTTATCAACACAAACAGTTCGCACATGCGCAACGACGACCATCGCCCTCACTAGTACATCGAAATATATGTATTTATTTGCAAATGTTTTTTGGGTCAAAAGTTTGGCCAAATGTTTTCGTTTGGGCACGGTTACCAAAAGTTGCGCTAAGTTCGTCCATCGGGTTGGAGATGTTTTCTTGCGAACTTGCGAGCTTCCGTATTATTAATTTATTATTTCCAAAAGCCTGTCGTAGACATTTTTTCCTTAGTTTTCGCCCGCAAGATGTGAGGTGCATCTCAATTGATAAGTTATGTATATAATTTTGACAATTTCACCAACACAATATTCTGTGTGGTGGGTAGAACTTCCTGATGTATAATTTGGTAACATATGCATACGTCATATATTGAAACCCATGATGAAATATATTATTCTCAAGAGAAGCAGTATACATACTGAATATTGTCAAGCGGATGTAATTTCGACATAAAAAAAACAACAAAGACACGTTCTGTGCGGCCACGTCAATGAAACTCGAACACTTCCCGCGTATTCCGAAATGGTATTTCATGCGATGAAGTTGTCAGCCGTGCTTTTGTAGGCTAAAATATCATACAAGTTCTTTAGAATGCAGGGCTGTTCACTGAAAGCCGGTAACACGTGAATTCATAAGCATACTGCACTAACCGTTGCGTACTAACCTGCCCTCCACGGTCATTAAGGTACGTTTAGTTTGAACACCAACGTATGTATCACCCCCCCGGTACGAGATTGGGTGATGGTGAGCGAAAGTCAGCAAACAAAAATTCTTGTCGTGAACCACAGTCCCTCTATCCGTAATGCATACAATAGATAGAGGGACTGTGCCTGAACATAAAACAGATTAAGAGTTGGCCATTTAAAATTGAAAAGGGAATATTTGCACGTACTAGTATCTAGATCGTTTTGTTTACACTTTCTTGTTTTCAATATAGCACATGTACTGTAAAATATTTTATTTTAGCTGGAAGTAATTTTTGCTGAAAAGACTTTTGGGGTGTTTTGTATGGAATTTATTTTCACTGATTTTTGACGACTTGAATGTGAAATACAAGGGAAAAAAGTATATTTTATTTTCAGTAATTCCATACCACGCTTTAAAGAATTCCTTATAAGAAATTGTGCTCACCGAATTATGTTCACCATTTATCTACCTATTACAGGCTTTATGGACACAACACACACTCACACCTTACTTGTATTTTGAATTGTAGCTACCTCCATTGACGCAATGTGATGAATTTCAAATATGTAATGCTGCTATTTCATGCGCCAATCATGTTAACAACCGTTAATTTAAAACACTATTCTATATTGACACTGCTTGGAAGTGTTGCGACATCGTTTTGAGGGCCATCAATTATATAAACATATTGTTCAAGTATGTAGCTGACAATATCTGTATTTGATGTCGAAAAGTGATTCAGTGTATTGCGAAATAAATAAGATATAATGTCAGCCAAAACGGATTGTCTAATGACGTTCTTGGGATTCAAGACACTTAGGTACGACGTCAGTATGCATCCACAATTCAGTAAACAATCTACTTATTTCGCAATTGATGGTATCTTTATGGTTGTAGTAGTAGTTATCTGCGCTGGGTAAGTAGCAAAGAGTTACAGTTTGTGGATCAGTGCCAGAAACAGACAAGCAATAAATATGTTTGATTGAAAGAATCTAAGCTACCGTGATACTAATCACGAAAATGGCGCGATGGGAATATTAAATTGGAAACAAATCCACGATAATTGCAAATAACATAAGCAAACGTTCGAAAAATATGTACTGGTATGGATCATGTGACATTTTTGAGGAAAACAAACATTGTTTGCAAATTCTGATGATGTCATTAAATATCGGTAGTCGTCATGCAGTACGTGTTCATGTAAACAGGCAATGCATTCTACAATCATTTCACTTAGTATGCATTACGTGGAACCTACATCCGGGACCTACATTGAACATGAAGCGTCGGGATAACCACTACCATTTAATTTAATTTAGATAAAAATATATCATTTTACTAACACACGAACGTTTAAAAAATAACCATTCATTGATTTCTACAGACTCGGCAATAGACGACTTTCGATTTTCAAATGCGTGCGATATTCTGTTCAAACACGTCAGTAACGATTCAGGCTAGTTCATAATTCGTGCATGACGTGCATCATCAACATTTCACGTTTATCTGAATTTGTACAAATCTATGGCACATTTCCATACGTTCACGGTACTATAAGTCGAACCTTTATCTGCAAGCACTTGGTGTTACGTGGATATTTGGAGGATTATCATAATGTTAATTGTTTCATAACAACTATCTGCGAACAAGGACAATAAAATGGCCAAAAAGTATGACGTATTTGGACAAAAATACCACGTGACACAGAACCCCGCAAATGATATATTACTAGTTAGCACGTCTAGTTTGTTTCACATCAAGTATAAATTATTCCGAATGTGTTTTGAAAATCCAAATGAGAGTAAAAAACTATTCCCTGTTCCTACTTGGTCCCATATGACGTGTAAGACAAGACTCGGACGCCCACTGTACGACTGCGTCGCTTTATTACAATTTTCTGAGATGCTGTATAACAGTTACGAATATGTTTTCGTATTATCACAGTTTTCAGATATGACTTCTCGTGTGTCGCCGGAATTAGAATCAATGTATTCGTTTCCGGTGATATTTGGAATATCATCTAAGAGCCCAGGTGCTTTTAAATACAAGGATTAAGGTGGACTTAGTTTTTTGAGGGGGTACTTAAATGTTCATTAGTACAAGGGGTACATGACGTATATTACCAGTGGGGAGTGAAGACATGTAACACTAGTCGGTTAATTTAACATAAAATCCATAAAAAAATAACTCTACATCAAATAATTTTAAATCACTCAAAATCAGAATTATTATCATCGTGATCATTATCGTCGCTCTCAACATCATTGTTATCACTATCACTGACATTTTACCATGGCAACCATCTTGATCTAAACCAATTCTCACCATCGTTATCAACACTATGAACATGATCATCATGGCGACCACCAATGTCTAAACCAATTCTCATCTTCGCTATCATCAGCACAAATATTATCATCTTTGCAACC